GGAGGTCGGGTTTGAGAGTGCCCCTGCTCCGGCCTCCCTCGGCTCCCTCTTCCCGCCCCCTGCCCGTCCTGGGGCTGCGCTCCCGCGGTGGCAGCCGGGCAGGAGGGAGCTGCGGTGGGGTCCGGCCCGCCCGAGGTGTTTGTGAGTAGGGTTTTCTGCCTGGGAGAGTGGCTCTGTGCCAGAGAGCCTCAGCTGCGCGAACTGCAAAGGTGGGACTTGCAGGCCTGGGACGGACTCTGTGTTAGCTTTCCCTTCTTCTTACGCTTTAAATTCCATACGTAGCAAATCGAAAGATAGCCGAGTAAATGGCAGCGTTTCCCAGAGGCGGAAACACTCTTAATAGTTTTTCGGGTTTTTTTACACTTTACATCAGCTTTGGCATCCTCCTGTCGCCTGGAGGCCTCCCGCTTCCGGATGCCTGGGTGAATTGCGTTCTCTGGTTTGTGCAGACGCCTCTATAATGATTGTTTATCTGGAGAAAAGGCTTTCTGCTGCCGGGGTTCCGTCCGTGCTAGAGCAGAGCCGTGCTGCTTGCCGTGCGAGGAGAGCGAGCTGCCGCCGTGCTCGGCGCTTCCCAGGGAGCCGGCGGGGCTGAGCGCAGCCCCTGCTCCCGCCGGCCTCACCCCGGCACCGCTCAGCCTCGGCGGGGAGAGGGGTGCTGCTGAAATCCTGCCGGGGCGCTGGGAGTGAGTAGTGCCTCTGAAAAGGCTTCAGAGAGCTTTCTGCACTTACTCGGGCCAGCACTCGGGCTCGGCATGCATGGCTAGCTGGGAATGGACTGTGGAGGTAAAAGCTGCCGGATCTAAGAGCGTTGTCATAAATTAAATTAATGCTTCTGGCATAGTGTTGTGACTTGGCTTGTCTAACTCGTTGTGACAGCTGCAGTGCATGCTGACTTGTTTGGGATGCTAGCAAAGCTTTGGGTGTTTATTTTTCTGCTTTAGATGCCAGGCTAACTGTCCTAAATCTTATCTTTGGACACTGTTGCCAACATTAAGCTGCGTGCAGGCTATGTCATAACCATGGGTATCTCCTGCTGATCCCTGAGTGCTCTTCTGCAGCATCTTCTCTTCTGATTTTACATGCTGAACTGAAGTGTAGAACAGGAAATTTTATATTAATGAGGGGTTTGCTAGTCAAGCTAATTGTTAAAAGCAAAACAAAAAGAAAACAAGGGAGTAAAGTAAGAGGTGACTAACTGCTAGTGTCCAAAAGAAGCATGTGCTATATCAGCAGTCCCTTCCAGATGGTATATTAGAATTCAAACTATGATGAATGTATTAAGAGAAGATTTTCTCTTCCTCATTTATTACGGGTTTATTACAAGCTCTCCCTAGTCTTTGATAAGCCTGGGCAGATAATTTTGAAAGCAGCATGGAACAATGCTAACATAACTGAAAGTGACCTTGCCCTGACCAGGTTACTAACACACACACACACACACACACACACACACACACACACACAAACACACATGTGTTTAACATTCCTTTTCTATATATAGTAAACCAAGAGTCATTCCAAAGCTGTTTGTGCCCTTTGAAATTTTATCCATAGTGAAAATGAGTGGATAGCCTAGTTTCAAGTAATAATTTTATGTATGTGTACAGGTTTCATAATTTTGAAGTTTTAAGTTTTCTGTTACAAAATCTTTTGGAACATCATGACTTTTTTTTTTTTTATAACTAGCTTTCATAGTGGGAAATCCTTGTTTCTTATTAGAGAAGAATTGCTGTAATATTTACTAAATCTGTTCTTTCTTGTATTTGTGAAATTAGTAATCTAGTGTAATTTTTAGTAAGCAGAAGCAATTGTTATTAAAAATCGATGTGCTTTATGCATCTTAGTTGTTCATACCATTTTCATTTGGATGCATGTATTTCCTCAAATGTGCATTAAAGGTTCCTTTAAGGTGAGATTGATGCACTTTTCACCCGCCACCATCAATGTCACAGACAAATAAAAGGTCAGCTTGAATAAATCACTCAGTCGGTCATGATAGTGGTGTGGTAGCTGCAAGGTTGTCTTCTGAGCTAAATCCTTAGAGTTTATGTACTGTTTGTCAGTGGGAAAAAGTGAAAGTTACAGATTGAGGGCTTTCAAACCTGCTCACTGTCTTTGTTGCCTTTTGTTCTTGTTCCAGGGTTCAGAACAAGATGTAGAATAAATCAGCACCTTCTGCTGCTCTGATAACAGCATTTTTTGAAGCCCTCTCTGTCCCTGGTCATTACTTGATCAAAGATAAGAGTCCAGTGAGAAAGGAGATAATTCTTTTATGCTTTTTTTTTTCAACTTAGTCACTGGGAAAAACAAATCTTCTCTCTGCCTACCAGCTTACATCAAAAGAAATGCTATAATGCTTGCTGAGTTATTTTCCTTTCATAATCAACTTCTTTAAGGTGTTTCTTCCACACCTTTGTAAAATGCAGCTTTTCTTTGATGAGGTGTGATGTTACTATGTTTTAAGTAGTACTTCCTGCTTTTTATAGATAGGGTAGAATTTTCCATGAATCTTACACTCCTTACATCTCTCCGTGTTTTATCTTGGGTAGATAGGTTTTCATGCAGAAAAGTTGTCTTGCTTGGTTGGTTTTCAGTTGAAAAGAATAGAAGATGAAGTCATTAAGCAACTCTGTAAGGCAGAATCTCACATCACTAATTCCTGTTGTTCAAATGATGAGACTAGAGATCACTTAAGGTGCAGAGCTCTTGGGTAAATTGGCAATCCAGCAGCTAATTACTTATTTGTGACTCTTGATACACTGTATTACTATATAAATTTCTTTAATACAGCACATATGTCTTGCTTTAGCTAGCTTTTGCTAAAGATCCTACATTAGTTTTAGTTCTACAGTTCTACATTATTGTTTGCTTTTTATACAAGTAGCACTCTCCAAATGATTTTTTAAAATTACTATTTTTTTCTTCTTTTACCTGGTGAGTGAAATTCCTTCTGATTTTTTTTAAGAAACTAGATCAGGTAATCAACAGTTGGCAGCTAATATTTATCTTTTTATATCTTCTGTTAGGCCAAGTACCTTTGATAAGTACAAATTAGAGAGGCATTAATGTGTGAAATAGAAGAATGTCTTAGGGGTGTTAGCTTCCTCACAATTTAGCAAGACCTTGTGATAAATTTAGCTGGTTGACTGTTACTGTTGTTGCCTAAGCCCCTCAAAAGTTTGGAAATCCCCACATATATTGCAATCAGGGAGGCTCCCTAAATTGTACTTCAACTCTGGCACAGTGTTTGCAGAACTGCGGGGTCCAGAGCCATGTAACAACTGTGGGAAAATGGGTTTTTCTTTGTAATGAGCTGTGAATATAAATTACACTGAGTTTTCTCAGTGTAATGACTGACTCAGTCTTCACTGGTGTCAAAACAGTGAAGTCAACAGGTTTTAGTTGACTGTTGTAAGGATGAATTATAAAAAACCTTCACAGAATAAAAGAATATGACTTGTATAGTAAGCGATCTTAGAAAGGTCACCTAGGTTACATGCAGTGTCTTGTGGTGTAGGGTTGTCATTTTGAGAAAGTTGGGAAGTAGGTTTGGTGAGACTTTAATAACTTGAATGTAAATATGTTCATGTACATCCCTTTCTAGAAGGTAGCATTTGAAATGCCGTGAAATGGCTGGTAGACTGGGGAGACAGTTGAGATTTTTGACCTGTGCCAAGTGAAAGTCCTGTTTGTGAAGGTTGATTTGTTTATTTTATCCCCTGACTTTTAAGGTCCATGAAGTATTAGGCAAATTGTGTGTGATTTCATAGTGGCTATCTCAGGTTTATAACAGGAACAGAAACTCATGTGGTTTTAGCAGCATTTTTTTTTTAAAGTATTAGTTTAGTAGTCAACTGGCATTTAGACAGAATTTAATCTTTGGACATCATACTTGGCTTCCTGTGAGTTTCTAATATCAGCCTTGGCCAATCCAACATGAATACTTTATATTAAGTTCAAAGTTTCTTTAATGAATCGCTTTTGCATTTGAGCTGACTACAAGTAGAGTCCTCTATTACATAAAATATAGTTGGGTAGAAGATTTATGGATTTCTGTTAATTGGAAAGTGGCTCTGTTGCAACCGTGTACAAGTAAAGAAAAAGTAGGAAATGGTGATCTCATCCTTGATGGCATTAGTTTATGAAAATGACCATACAAGCTGGGGAATTAGGCACAGCCCTGAAAGTGATTTTTACCCATGGTTGTAAATCTAATCTAGAGTTACCATTAGCTGTTATTTCTGACATAGTAGTGGGGTTTTTTTCATTTTGACTTTAAGTGTTTTGGATAGGTAACAGATTTCTTCTTTCACAATAGCTTCTTTTTACAGCTATTTGGATAACAAAATGAAACCTGCAAAGCTGCACTATTGGATTCTGGTTTGGTTTTCCATGGCACTATGTTGTTGGTGTACTTCAGATGCATTTACTCAAAGGTAAGATGTGCTTTAAAATGAAACATCTGACAACTCATTCGTAACTGTAGATCAGAATGGTTTAACTTCTAATGTAAATTCGTTATTATGTACGATTTTTGATGTGTTATTCTTCCCTTAGGTGATTTATAATAAGGCATCTACATTAACTACAGGAGCAAGGATCATGCCTGAGGAAACCTTTACATGTGTCAGCATAAAGAAAAAGAGGAAACTTAAATTCAATTTGTTGCACTTAAAACTTTTCTAATCTTGCTGTAGATTAATCATTTAGAGTTGTGATATAGTAATGACAAAATCCAAACATTATTTTGAAACTTAGAGCAAAAAATCTGGAGTCATCCCTGTGGCATGAGCTGCACTAACAATTGCATTGTTTACTTTTTTATTTATATTTTCTTTTTCTTTGCTATTTTCTCAGTTCTGACAATATAAAATTCTTTTTCATATGACATCTCAACTGAGGCTGTATCAGATTTCTTCACCACCTTTTGGTGGCTGTTGCACCTTGGCAAAATCTGAGCTTCAGTACCAATGGGCCATGGGAGAAACCACCCCAAATCACACCCTTCTGTGGTCAAAGCTGAAATTCCTCTTGCATTATATGAGGAAATAAACTTTACTGCTTCCTTTCAGTGCTTTGGCAAGGGAATGGTTAGGAGTGCTCAGTTCAGTGCTGAACTTCTTTTAGTGTTTACATTGGAGCTGCTGGGTAGCTTAGACACTGTGCTGATGTTTCTTCAGTCCCCAGGATTTAGGCTCTGCCTTGGCTATCTTGGCAAAGAGTCAGCTCTAGAGGCACATTCCTGAGCTGCACAGAGCAGGGTAACTCAGGTCCAGAGAAGGAGCGGTATCTCTGAAGCTGCATAGGTATTGAAAATGGCTTTCCTTGGATTCCAGTTCTGAGCTTAACTCGCTCTGTGTGATAAGTACAGTTTTCTGACCTATCCTTAGCCAAAAAGTGTGTTCTAGGAGAGCTCTATTTGGCATGACTGACATTGCAGAAGTTCAACTGCTATTTCAAATACAGATGAGAGATCTAATGTAAAGTCCAAAGAAAGAAAGATCATTTCTAAGCAAGGAATTTTTAAAACCAAGGAAATTAAATGCTCTGTAATATAGAGCAATTCCTCTATTCAAGTCCCCTATAAAAGTATTTATAGTTTTTATTGTGGCTATGCCTGGTCAGGTCCAGAGCTATTCTCCTAAATTATATAGAAAACCATGAATACATCTAAATGCTTAAGAGAAAATGCAGCCATTGCAAACTAGAAAACCTAGAGGAAATAACTGATGTGTGAGATAACACAGAAGCATCCCTAGGCTGTCTTGAGGTTGAGAAGAATTAGCTTTGTCTTTTATTCCTTTTTTTCCTCCCTTTTTCTTTTGGTAATATATCCTCTAGAAAGAACTAATGACTGACAAGTGGCTATTAGCTTCCAGAGAATCACAATTTATTTTGACAGTTCTGCAGGTAATGTTGTCAGTTTAAATAATTTACAATTCTACTTATTTTTCCCATTTGCTGTACTATTTAATTACTTTGTCTGGTTGCTTAATAACTAAATATACATGCAGTAGTGTCTGATGCAACAGGTTTTTTATTTACTTCTACTTTAATCAGAGTAGGTATGCTCCAAACTGTTGGAAAAGGCCTCTATAGAAATGATGTGACACAGGCTTCCAACACTTGCTGAACAAATTTTTGAGGTTTTTTTTTTCCCTCTGCATATGAGTAAGGTAGTACTGGTCTGTGTGTTATAAATCTCTTATTCTTAGAGGCTTTGAAACAGGCATGTTCTTGTAAAATATGGAATACCTCTTAAATTCTTCTGTAGGTAACCTTAAGACTTTGTTATAGTTTGATCACTTTTTAAATGTGTAAAAGCTATTTCATTTTTAATAAGCATTTAAAAATGTACTGTTTGAATTAAATGCCTATAAACTTAGAAAGTCAGAATTTTTGAGATTTGTAATTTCTACTTGACTTTTTATTCTGAATTTTTTTTTTTAATCAAAAAGTTTGGGGAAACTTGCAAGATCCAGTTTCATGTAAACTATATAGTTTGTGAATAATTGTGGTCTTTCTTTTTTAGAAGAGTAGTTACAGTTCCAAGAAGGTTGTATGCTTTTTTTTTTTTTCTCAGATAATGTTCCTATCAAGAAGAATTAGAACATTCTTAACATATTAAATAAAGACACCTATTTAAAAAAAAATATAATTTTAAAAGCATGCCAATAAGTACTCTGTAAATATAAAACAGAACAATGTGTTTTTTCCATACTTAAGAAATGGAAAGCATACGGAGAGGGTGCCAAAAGGAGAATTTGTTTAACAATCAACATATTAGCAGGTTGCCAAAAGGAGAATTTGTTTAACAATCAAGATATTAGCAGGTTTCCTAATATGTTGTTTCTTTCCTACTTGTTAGTTTGGAGTGTGTGCCTGAAGGTGTTCCTCTTTTTAAAATGCTTGAAGAAAAATAAATTTGTCTGTCTCTCTCCAGTGACGTCCACTTTCATCCCTGGAAAAAGCTGTATTTTGCTCATCATTGGCCAGTGACTGTATGTAAGGTAAGATTTTTGTGTTTCTCTTTCATCCTAAAAAAGGTAGCATTAGATAAAAAATGTGTAAAACCAGATTGAATAAAACCCATTGAATATTTAATCTTGGTTATGCCTTTATACAGGCTTTTCCTGATCCTGATAGAAGTTTTGCTACTTCCCCTGCAATGCAGAGCAGCAGGAAAGACTGTGGTGTGTTAGAGTCATCAGTGTAGAGTGTACTGTACAGTAAGCTTGTTACAGAATTTGTGATGTCTTACTAGTTATAAACTTAATCCTAGACTTTCATCGGACTCTGTAGGAAGACTTGCCTGCCTTGTTTGACTGATGACAGATCAGTATTTGAACTAACTGCTGCACAATACTTTTTTTAGCTTTGTAATGTTTGCTCCAGTATTTCTGTGATGTCGTCAAATAGTGATTCAGTCAGGCAAGAGAGCTATAAAGGTGTTGTGGCAGGTGTTTCTGAGTATTTCTGCATTTTTTGCTGTGTCTGAGGGGTATGAACCCAAAACAAACCCAACCTTTCAACATAACATATGTCAAAGCACAGCTAAAAGGGGTACTATTGCTATTAAATGTCTACTACCATCTGATAAGTAGAACACTTTTCCTATACTGGAAGTACTCAAAGGTCCCTTCCCATATAGTTAACTTAAAAATATGATCAGATTTATTGACACAAGGTTGAAGAACCTTGTGGATAATAAAGTAGCTTCAGGTTCAACCAAATGTCTCTGCCATGAGAAAGATTCCTTAGGATTTTTTTACAACATTAGAATCTTATTTTTTGTGTTTTAGATACTTTTTTTATTTCTTATTCCTGATTCTGGAAATAGATAGAAAAGCTGTAGCAACAAAAGTCTTGTGCTGCTTAAATATGAGCAGGAATGAAAAAAATGAGGAAAAGTAGATGTACTTTACTTAAAAATGGAGGACAGTATCAATAATAAAAGTCAGGTGCGTGTGACTAACAGAAACCAAAGACCAAAATCACTGTTCTGTTTTTTGTTTGTTTGTCTGGTTTTGGACAGAAATAAGGAAATATTTGATGCAATATGTCTGATTTTCTGTTGATTAAACATCACTGTTAATGACTTGAAGCAAAGATGTTGGTGTTGAAGAGTTTGTAATGCCTAGCATGAGTCAGTTTTCAGAGTCAGTAGCAGTGCAAACCCTTGCTTACATGACTGAGATGAGAACAATTGGAAAAAAAATAAAAAATGAAACAACACAAAATTAATAAAACAAACCCCTTAGCAACCAGTTTTCCCACTTTGTATTTATGCTGGTTACTCCTCTGAATTCCAGGATTGTGCAATTTATAAATTGACAGATAGTTTACGTGACCTTCTAGTGACCTACACGTGAATGTATTGAACATCAGAAAATGTAAGCATTCTTGCACTTTGTTAATTTCTTATGATATTCTGTAGTAAGAGGTGGACAGAAGCATTCAAAGAAGTACAGAAAAAGGGATATTAAAATCATATTAAGTGACTTTTTTTCCTAGTTTCCCATCATTGTGTCATATGAAGGAACAAGATCTCAACTAAAACATCTTTCTTGTTTTAGATAAGAGTAGTTCCTAAATTCAGGAATTAGTTTAAGTGTTTTTAAGTAGGTAAATTCTTCTGCATGTTCGGTGTATTTATATATAACTGGTGTTTTTCAGGGTGTAAATGTTTTTAATGTTATTATTCAGTTTAAAATTGTTGACATGATAATGAAAGGAAAAAGCTGTGAAAGAAACAGCGAAAGTCATTATATCAATTATGACAAAAAGCTGTGAGATGCTTTTTTTTTGAAAGTACTTCTTAGTTTGTGCCTCCTATCTAAAGGAATCTGATAATAGACTCTTTTATACATAGTGTGTTCTTGAGGTGTGTGGATGAGCTGCATCTTAACTCCTACCTGTTTTGCAAATCTGTACTTGAAAAGTTTTTTAGGCTTTTGAAGGCCTGAAAGGCCTTCTTTAAACTTTAGAGGGCACAGATCAGCATGCCAGAAATTTGACAATACATCTCTCCCAGCTCTTTCTGGGCTTTAAAAAGTAAGTATTCAGCTGGTGCCTTTTAATACTGAGTGTGATCAGCACAATTAAGTGTTTTGTAGTCATACCTTTCAAACTAACCCATTAAAATACAGTGGTATCATAGAAGTAGTGATAACCTCAGGACCTAATTACTGAGTACTACAGTGAAAAGGGTGAAGGAGGAAGAGAGTTTTCTTCCTTGTAATGTGATTAGAAATTCCAGTACCATATAATTGACCTAAGGTAACTGCGTCTTATGCAAAGGTATCTAAGCTAAATTCACAGACCTCAAGTGACTATGAATTTCATGTTCCCTTAAAAAATTGTGCCTCTGGCTAATTCACACCACACTTTTCAGTAACAAATCAGTGACTTAAGAGCAGCTTAAGGCCAAGAAAAGGAACTTTCCAACTCCCCTTTTATGGAGTTGTGAAATAGCTTTTATTGCAGAACTTAAAAAGAGAACTATCATCTCAGCTTTTGCATCCTAGAGATTGCAAAAAGGTAAAATTTTCTGTGTGGTTGATTTTGTGTTTGTGTGTGAAATGTGGAAGATCCAGTGCAAGTTTGTAAGTTATTTAGTTCCTTCTCTGTTAGGAATGGGAAGGACAATAAAGAAAGGGTACCCGCTGTCATCTGCCTTTTATTGCACATATGTTCTGAGGAAGGAAAGAGTCAATAAAAGGACAGTAGAATAGAGTAATGAACAGAACAGTCTGCATTCAAGTTTGAATGTTGGGTTAAGCAACAGATGATTTGTTTTTTAAAAAAATTATTTTTTCATATGAGCTAAAAAATTTTCTTAAGTTCAGCCTTTGACAATAATTTTATAGCAGAGGCTTAAATGAAGAATAGAAACACTGTTTTTCCTTCTTTTTTTGGTAAAAATAGAAGCAGTCATGTAATAGAAAAAGAATTAAAGTGACTAAAGTGAGGGCAATACACTATTGTGATCTAGCATGAGATCAAAAACTTCCTTAGATATATTTCTTTGCATTTTAAGCCAGGTGTGTCAAAGTCGTTTCAGCTCTTGCCATACACTGTTCTGGAACAAAAGGAATGCTTTTCCCAATGTCCATGTAATTCATAAGATAACTCTTAATCTATGTCTACAACTTCTACAAGTTTTCTGAGAATATGGTTTGGTTTAGGTGGTTTTGTGGATCTTTATATGAAAGGCTTTAGCCTAACAGCTCCTGTTAGAGAGGTGTTCAATAAGTAGAAAATTTGTATTATTTGCCACCCAATTTTTTTCAGCAACCCTATAAATTTGGTTCATTTATTCATTTGTTTTACCCCAGGGTGTGGGGAGAAGGAGGAAGGGGAATAAATGCATGCTGTATGAGGAGAAGTTGAAGAGGTGAATTGTCTCCACAGTTTGAAAAGCAAGAATTTTTCTTAGCAGTTGCCATGTTTCATTACAAAGTAACTTATAATTTATCTTAATTAAAGAGATGGCCTACTTAAGCAAGATGGTTGGAAAGGAGAACAGGATTAAATATTTCACTTCCCAGAAGCTGATTTTTCGTTTCAGTTTTGTGTATCTGTATGTGATCCAGTAGCACAACGCTTGCATTTACCCCCTGCTGTACCAAGGGATTTGTAACTTGGGCAGCTCAACAGGTAACACTTCTGTGACACGGTGATGGTATTTCACTTTTTGGCATTTCAGAGGTGATAAAAAGCTTCCATACTTCTGGCACATGCTGTTTGTGCAATGACTGGCTGTTACAAATAGGCTAATCCCTCTGCTGTAGCGTTCCCTCCTAGCATGATGGGTGCTCTACAGCTTCACCAGCACCTTGCTCAGTTTTACAGTGTATGGTTCCTTTGGATTGGTTTGATTATCAGATTGCTTTAAAACAGGAGAAAACAGTGCTTCTTTTTCAAATTTATCTAGGTATATAAGGCTTGAAAATAAATGCTTGTACCTCTGTTTCAAGTCTGTGGTTGCCTGAGGTTGAATTAATCCTCCAGCAATCAGTCTGTGATGAACAGGAAGGCTGACAAGAAGTGGTTTTGCCCAAGCAAACATAGGTACCCAGCTTTGCAGACCAACATTTACATTTTTTATGATACTGATTAAAAATGAGCATTTTAAAGAAACTAAGGCAAGAATGAAAAAGGAGATTGAATGAAGCTGGCCAAAGCACGCAGAGTGTGAGTTAATGTGATGTAGGTTGCATTGACCTTGCAGTTCTGCCAGCACACAGGGTAACACCAAGAATCTGATGAAACAGGTAGAAGAAACTGCTAGGAAGGTTAGTGCCATGATTTCAGATCTAAAAAGCTCTGGGTGTTCCATTAGCACCTCTGAGACCTGCAGTTAAATATTGATTTAAGGAGCACAATTACACTGTTTCTGTTCCCACCTCAGCTGAGCAAGCTGTTGACTATTAATTTGCTGTAGTTCGGGCTAGATAGCCAATCCCCTGCAGTTCCACAGAGCTTGTGTCATGACAGGAACAATATTGTTTAGGCATTTGCAGTGTGTGTTTTTTCAAAATACTCCTTTCAGGAAAAAAAAGCTGTTTCTGGGTGTAATTGCTTGTATTGTTGGTGGCAAAAGAGGAGAGGAAGGAAATGGACACAGGACAAGAAAGTCTTGCAGAACTTGCAGGTTTGCTGCCACTGGCCTGTGGCATGTGGAAGGCAATTAGTGAGATTACAGGCTTGTCTCTGCTCTTCTCTACACTCTGCTCTTGCTCTGGCATCACATAAAAGACATTGTGGCATAATTAAGAAAGAATGCAGAGCCAAAAAGGAAAGCTATTATTATGGGAAAGGAACGTCTGGGGAGGTTGTTAGTTAGTGGCAAAAAGTGTTTATTTGAAAGAGCTCTAATTGCTAAGAAGAATAATCAGGGAAAATACAGTAATGGTATTCCGTGATGTGTGACATGGATTTTTTTAGTTTGTTTTTTTCAGGGATGTGTCTGCTCTAAACAGTAATTAAAGTGTAGGCTATTTCTTCTGTATTATCAACAGTTTTTATTGGAGGCTCTGTTTTTCTGTTTTTGTAGGAAGGTATTTAGTCTTTCTTTTTCTCTCCATTCCCTTGTCCCTCAAGTCAAAATCCTTACAGCATAAGTCCATTTTACTTGGAATAAGCAATATATTTAATCTCTTCTTTGTATTTTTCACTTTTAATACAGTGTAAAAAAACAAGTCCTGAATGCTTAAAGAAGGTTTTGTGCTTGTCCAGTATTATAGTTTATTTTGCATGTTTTTATTTTAATGGCTCTGCACTCCTTGAAAAGATGTTGTAATGAGAAAATTACAGGGAGCAGCCACCTGGAATATTTTAATTGCTGATAAAGCTCTGCTTGTGTGGATCAGGCTACTTCCTGTTACATCAGAATATGTCCTTTTGTCTTCTCTTTATACTCTGTGCAGATTTCACTGATCTGCTTCAAAATTTTAATGCCAGTGGGTCCCTAAGTGGTATAATCCATGACAGCTTCAAGTAACTGGAGTTCACCAGTTCCTGATTTGGCAAGTTAGCGTGTCACAGTAGAACTTTGGGCCATCACTGAATTAATTTTGCCTTTAAACCTTTACTTCTGGATACATGCAGCAAACATGCTGTGTTTTTGTTCCCTACAGATGAATGCTAATGATTGTCATGACCCGCCAAATTATTGGACAATCCACGGATTATGGTATGATCACAGAGTGTTTTTATTTCAGCCTGGAAAGGAAAAATCAATTTTTAAACTAAACCAGGATGTTTAGTGATTTGGTTTTATTGGGTGGGAGTTTGTTTCTTTGGGGTGTTTTTTTGTTTGTTCCGTTGGGGTTTTTTGTGGAGTTTTTTGTTGATTATTTTTGGATTTTTTTGAGATCTTACACTGTTTGTTCTTACGATTCCTTGAAACAAAATTTAAACCCTATGGTTTGACATAAAACTGAAATACAGTTCTGTATCTCATGACTCGTTGAAATTCACTGGCCTCATACAAATTTTATTTATACATCTCTTCATAAGATCAGAAATCATCTCAAGCACAAAGGGAATTATTGTTTCCCTTCTTTTTTTTTGTCTTTCTGAGTAAAAAGAATTTGTTAATATCTCATGACTGCTTGTGGCTTTGAGTATCTTATCTTGAAACAAATATTGCAAAAATATAGGAAAAACTAATTTGCTTCAAAGGAATCAACTCACTGGAATTGATGCCGGTGGCAGCAATTCAAAACTTTTCTGGACAAACACAGGTTAAAATCAGTACAGGAGTTTAAGCCATGCCTCCTGGAAAAGTGAGCAGCATTATGTATCGGTTCTCTGAGAGTGTCTTGGTGATAATTGCAGAAACATCAGATGGGGCAGAAATTTAGGATGTCACTGCCATTAGTGACACCAGTGACATCATGTGCAAGACCCTCCCAAGTCATTGGCACACCCAAATGACTTTTACAAAGAATGAAAGGGACCAAAGGGCTAAACAAAAGAATCATGACAAAATCTTTTGGCCATCTTTTTGAATCTTCATGAGAAATCTTTTGGCCATAATCAATGTCTTGAAGGTTTTGCTTCTAAACCACTGTAGGTTGTGATGGTTTACTTGCATTTTTAAGTAAAATCTCCAGCTATAATCATACATATTTAAAATTCAGGTCAATGATATGTTAGTTCCCAGTAGTGAGTTAGGAGACATCTTTTTTTCAATTTTATTTTTCTTCCCTAGGCCTGACAGAGCTGAAGACTGTAACAGGACATGGCATTTCAATGTCACCGAGATCAAGGTATTTAAAACAAAAACAGACATATCAGGCAGAGCTAAGTGCAATTACTTTTGCACATCCTATATGCAAAATACGCAGTTTATAATATCACTCTTAATGTTTACTGAGAGGTATGTTTTTTTAAGGACTCTAGAAATTCTTTGAGTGCTTCTGGTACTGTTTGAAGTTGCCATCCCTGTGATCATTAGCAGCTGCACCTACTTGATTTTGTGAACATGCAGTTTGGCTCATTCAGCCACATCCTCCTTACTAAATCTAAAGGTCCAGCACCACACTGGTGATGAATCTGCAGTGGCAAAAGGTATCTGTGAAAAGAAAAAGACTCAGTCAACAGCAGCATTTTCAGAATATGGAGGAAAAAGACCTTTTATTTTTCTTCAACTAAATGTTTCAGTCATGGACATTGAAAGATGAGGCTTCAGTTGTAAAAAATGTATCAATATATGTAGATTGTATAATAAATATTTTTTCAGTGCTGTAGGTGCATTTATTAATTGTGGTGTTTTTAGGATCTTCTGTCAGACATGAGACACTACTGGCCTGATGTGCTTCATTCATCTCTGAATCGCACACAGTTCTGGTGAGTATTAAAAAGCCCTTAAAAGGATTTTGGATATTATTTTATAAAAATCCATCTGAGTAGCTCTTCAGGTGAGATGTTATGCGTGAGAAGCAGTGTCCAGGAGGCCACTGAAGCAGTGTGTCTTGCCATTCTCATTTACAGTATAGATCTGTTCTCTTGTAAAATACAGCTGTTGAAGAGAGAGCTATAGCAGAAGTTTTAGAGAAATGAAACTTGGTGAGAGAATGTTTCCTCCCTTTGTCCCCAGGGAGGACAAACACCTGTTGTTGACACATTAAATCTGAGTAGCAGTAGCTGTCCTGAGGTGTCACAGCTAGCTGCAAGAGCAGCTTCCAGATCTCTTTCCCTAGCTAGTTTCACTGTGTTACTGGTCTTGAGAGAGTTTTCCTTTTGGGTTTCCTCATAGAAGAAGAAATAGGAAAATAGAATGTACTGTGTCATGGCAGCCACTTCTCTTTTCAGTGAAGTTACTGACAGCAGTTCTGTCCTACCACCAAGCTTGTGGGTGCAAGAGGCGCAGAAGCTTCACAAGCACTGGCAGCTGTTTTTACTATCTTTTCTTTTGTTCTTTGGTGTGGCTGTGCTGCAAAATAAAGTAACACTGTGAAGAGTGTCATCTTAAAGTCTGGGTAAATATTTTGTGGAGACTAAAGTCTCTGTCCATTCTGGAAGCTCACAGGACTGATTAAAACACTTGGGCCTAGTGCATTCTTGGCTTGCTGCAGATGATGGTGCACAAGCACTGTCAGTGCAGACTGCACCAAACCACTCCATGGGAACAGTAATCAGCTTCTTGAATGCCAACAGATCTTTGGCATTTCTATTTCTACCTTCTTTTTAGAAAGAGAAGGACACTTGAATACAAGTACTACTGAAATTCTTCAAAAGACAAGCACTTCACCATTGGTTTTACGGACATGCATGTATACATTCTCTGAATTAAAATTGTTGTCCTACATGCAAAGCCTTGCCTCCAGCTTGCTGCTGTTTCAGTAGCCCTTTGGACCTGACTATTATCTGCTTCTGATCTAGCCTAAGTATATCTCTTGCTAAGTTTACCCCTAAAAGAGCTTCTGTTTACTTTAAAACTGTGGTGTCTTTTCCCATTAGTAATTTAAAATCCCTAGTGGAGAAATCTGTCCATGGAAACTGGTCTCTTCCAGACAATAAACAATTCATTTGACATGCAGTTGTGTTGAATGTTACAGATGAGAACTCTCTACAAGGCTAAATTTGGGAAGATACAGTGAAAATCTTACAGTAAAGCATCTTCTTCCCTGCCTCAAATCTCCTGACACCACAGTTGCTTTATTAATTATCTGTTGAGAAGTAGTGCACTATTTCTCTAGATCCAAACAGAATTTAAGGTGTTTTAATTCTTTAAGAAAAATCTGAAGTTTTCAATATGAACAGACAACTCCAAGGTAGGCTTTCAAGTGAGTACTAGTTGTCCTTCTTCTCTCTTTTTGATGATGTACTTAAGGCATCATAAGGTCACAGGATGCTGTGGTGAGGGCAGAAGTTTGTGATTAGATAATCTTTCTGTATATCTACTGAACTGATACCAAATAGTACAAGTAGAAAATGAAAATTTGAAAAGAGTTTAAAAAAAACACAGGCAGTGTCGCTAAAGACTATACTGCTTAATCTTCCAATGGACTTCAGAATTGGTAAATTGATAATTGATTGATTTTTGTCTTTTTCCCAGTTTTTGTCCTGTTTGAGTTTGTGTGCTGTACACTGCAAGAATTTCTTTTGCTCTCTATTCCTTGCCCTTAGGAGAATGGATAGTGGACTAGAAGCAAGACTTGAGAGAAGGCCTGTGAAAATTCTGTCACAGGCCAGAATAAAAACTGATCCTAAAATCTTAGCAGCTTGTGCAATTATACTGTTTCACCCAAAATAAGGCTTAATCCTTTGAGTTCAGAAAAAAAATTAGTGCTTTCAAAGTCTGTTCAACACAAAAGATTCCACTAAAACTTATAAAAAGCTTAGGCATAGTAATTTTCTAGGCAAATACTTTACATTCTGACCTCCAAACATCTTTGTATAAATACACTGAGAGGGCATTGTATCATAAGAGCATGATACATATTTACTTAATGAAAATATAGATGTTGCTGTTATTGAAATGGTGGGAGTGATCTTGCTTGGGTTTACTTTTTACATGTGTGATAAATTTGAATGCAGTGTTCTACTCCACATGTGTAGCCTTTTGGATACTTGATTTAAGTACAATGACTAGCTTGTACAGCACATGTGCAAATAAGGTATTCTAAAATTTGCATTTTGCTTTTCTCCTACAGGAAACATGAGTGGGACAAACATGGCACTTGTGCAGCCACACTTGAGATCCTTAATTCTCAGAAAAAGTACTTTGGTAAAGCCTTAGAACTCTATCAGCATGTTGATCTCAATGGGTACGTAAATTAACTTGATGAACTCTGGCTTTTATTTCAAACAGTTCCTAAAAGTTTCAATTCTAGCCTCAAATGAAAGTCTAAAAATCTGATGGTAAAGAGGAAATGAGAATTAGCAGAAATTATTTTTAGTACTGAAGTTCAGAGGAAGAGTTGTTACCCTGAGAAGCAGTCTCTGGTCACTTCAGTCAGATAAGCCAGCAGCATCCTTAGCAGCACTGTTCTACACTGTGTGAGCCACTAAATTTTTGAGAAGCTTTACAGGCTGTATCTTGATACCAAAAGCTATGGTACCTGTAAAGTTCTAAATCAAGTAACAAATCCCCCCTAAACTTCTGAGTCATGCTGAGCCCCAAACACTTGTTTTTAAGACAGTGCTTTGCTCAGGGGAAAGGACAAGCTGCAGGCAAAATCATGCAGGACGTCCTGGGAAAAGGCTGAGAGGCAACAGCAAAAGAGGAGGTTATGAAGGCTTCAGTTGCTGCAGGCAGTCCTATGCTGGACTTTCTGTCAACCCCCACATGGGACTTTTGCTTTGTCCTAGGGGCTGATTTCTCCTTACGCTTCCAAAGCTCTGGGCATTCCAGATTCAAAGTCTTGATGAGACTCTTGTGCCTTGTCCAAGTGCTGTATGCATGTGTTCTGGCTGCAGGTGAATGCCAGAAGGTTACAGTCCTTTCCTGATCAGTGCTTGGTATGGGTGAGAGGATGTTTGACTTCAATTTATTGACCATGAGAGGACAGTATCTGAGAGAGGAAATAGTTTCCTACAAAGAAACATACCTTAAAAAAATTCAAAGCAACCCCAAAAAACTTAAAACAACCCCAAAGAAACCCCAAACCAGCTCGTCCTGTTCATGCTCTGCCAGTATCCTGGCCAAGCAGTCTCCTAGACAAAGTCTCATTTATTTTGCATATGCACAAAGGAAATACATCTTCTCTCTCACCTCAGGTTTGTAGATGTCTTTTAGAACTGTAGCAGATTTTTCTATACACATTGTTTGAGCATGACATATGTAATGTTAAAATTAACGATGTCTAAGTCAATTGCCTAAGTAGCTGTTATGGTGTGACTAAAACATTTACAGATGGCACAGTGACCGATGATGTGACTCTGTGTCAGCATGTGCAGCACTGCAAAAGAATAGAGATTGAAGCATGTTGAAATTAATTGCTCAAAGCTTATTATCTATTGTGAAAATTAGTATAATTAATTTTTTCTTTACTGAAGAGTAAAAAGACTGAAAATGTTCTCCTAGTATATAATTTCTCCTTGAATAAGAAAAAATGTCAGTGATTAAAAAAATTGTTTCCAAAAAGCAAATTATTAAAAAGAGGACATCATGCAGCCTTCTGTAAGAATTAACAGAACATCATCTATTCTATTTGCCTCCTTATATGCAGTGTAAAATGACAAGTAAAAACAGCTTGTCCTTTAGTCAGCTGGGTAAAATCTTCCTTGTGCAAAAACTGACCTTGGAAGGGAATTAGCTTTTATTAATTAAATCCTGCAAGGTACTGACCATTCCCACTTCTTACAGAAGAAGCTGGGACTCACAGACTCATTTTTTGTTAGGTCCTGAGTCTTGCCAGCTTGGAAATGTGGACTCCTTTCAGGAGTGAGCCTAAAGGAGGAGGTACACAGGCTGCAGGTTCTTGAGCACTACCTCATTTCTCTCATGTGACCAACTTTTCCTCTTCAAAAACATATTTATTAGAACAGTTTCTGCCCTGACAGTAACATTGATCCTGATTGACATGCTGTATGCCTCTCCCAGAGTGCTGTGTGTCTCCCACTACAGGAAGCCCATCCTGTGGTTTGTATTTGAGGGTGCCTGGAACACCCTCACAAGTCTCCCTCTGCAGTGGCAGAAGCACGGGGGTATGGCTCAAGGCAGGAGAAAGGAAGCAATTAAACTGCATGTCCTATCTGGCACTGAACAAAGCACTCTGAAACTCCCTTTCCCCTAGGTGTGTCTGAGGACTGAACTATCCTAGTTTCTCAGATTAAGGTGTGGGAAAGACTTCTTCCTGACTGCCAAATTAGATGGGACGTGTCCTTTCAGAAAATGGCCTTTCCTAGGCTGGCAAAGAATGAAAGACAAGTTGCCCTTGCTCCCATTACTGCAATACTTGAAAGGTTCTTAAGATTTCTGTTTTACCAAATGATTATGAAGGCATGTTTGCATACAGGAAACGTGGAAAAATGTTTTGTCTTTATTTCAGTTGTCTCTTGAAAGCTGGGATAAAGCCGAGCAGTTCATATTATGAGGTAAGAGGCAATCTTTTATAAAACAAAATCATGTGCATGGACTTCTTTTTCAGTAGGAGTCAACTAATTTCTGTAGAACAAATTATCTTTTAAAAATTTTGTAGTTCTTTAAGGTTGTGCTTTTTATATAGATTATTGAGAGCTTCACCAGTGTAGTGGCTGTTGGAAGGTGTGCTTGTGACTTATTAATCTCTATAAGCTGTTTAATTTTTCAGATGACTGCTATAAAGGAAGCTCTTAGAAGATTTTATGGTGTAACACCGAAGATCCAATGCCTTCCTCCAGAAGAGGTAAAAACTCCCCTAATTTTCCAAAATGGAAAAAAACCCAAAAACCCAAACAAAAAATAACTTCCTTTTTTTAAGAAGAATTTTTTAATCAAAAGTACAGCAAAAAATGGAATGAAAAATCTTTGATATGGTAAAACCTAGGACTAAGTGTTCTTTGTGTATACAGCTGTTTGCATATAGGTTTTGTTTGATTCTTGGACTTGAGTTTTAGAGGTCTCTTTGTCTTGAAAGACTTACACCTGCGTCTTTTGTATGAATGCTGTATCCACCCTGCCAGAGGCGTTGCTGTAGCTGAGCACTTTACACCATGCCTGCTAAAGCTTAATTGCTGCATGGCAGATTACTAAAACCAGTAAGAGTGAGCTGAATGGAGCCAGTGACTGTCAGTCTTGCTGAGGGTGCTGCTGTCAGCAGCAGCCTTCCCTCCACTGGGCATGGCTTTTGTGTTCTGCATGAAGAAGCTACTCAGTGAACAGATTCCTTCTGAAATAAAGCAGCTCAGAAGCTTGTCTCTGAGATTGTTCCAGAAAGCCCATATCTAAAGAGGTACAGAAAGGCATTTTAAGCTTCACTGTAGTCTTTCCTTTTGAGCCAATCATGTCTCAAAATTCCATGTCTTTTTACTTTTCCATGCCATTGATTGTGCTGTGCATCATTATGCAGTAGAGAAGGTGGTACACAGAGACAGTGCTCTGTAAAGTACAGGTCACCATATCTGAACCAAAAGTGCCTCTGAAGGAGCAAAATAGTCTTCTGGACAACTACACGTTTAGGTTGTAGAGCTCTTCCCCTTTTTTCAGCTAGGTTACTCTGCTCTTTTGGAAAAATAATGAAAAAACAAAACCCACAAGGTTATCTTTCACTCTTATAAGTGGTTCCTTCTTATCACAGCTTGTGAAAGGTGATTTACTGCAGAACTCTTGGGGGAGTTACTGCCCATACACAGGCAACAATTTATGAAAACTTGCTGAGATACAGTTGCTGCTGGAGTGTGTTGCCAGCTCTTGCTTTAGTAATGCTCTGAGGTTTTTGTACTCATATGTTTTTTAACAAGAAAAAAATCTATAGGTTACAATATTTTTAATATGTGTTTATAAGTTACTTTAAGGAACTTAAAGGAATATTAGTTGAATATGGGTTGTACAGTCACCCACCTTTTAACATTAAAGTAGTACAGAGCAAACACAAACCTCAGTTTCAAGCTCTGTGTGCTGTAGTTCTGCCATTGCTTTTAGGATACTTGGGATACTGCTTCAATTACATGAAAGTAATGTACAGCTTGGGTCTCCTGTACTTAACAGCTGAAGCTATTGAGTAATAGAAATGAAAAAGTACATCTCAGTTATTTGAAGATAGGCCTTTTTCAGAGTTTTAGACTTGTCAATGCCTGCTGTGCATGATGGAGGTACTTTGATGTTTGGAATGGATTAGACACACTCTCTGTTCTGACGTTTCTTAAAAAAACCCAACAAAATAAACAAACCCCCTAACAACACAAATTCCAAACAAACAAAAAAATCCTCACCACAGTTACTTTTGTCTTGTATGTATCGTTTTGTACTGCTTAATTGTTCCAAAAGAATTTTTTTCCCACATTTTGTTAGACCTGATTATTTGGGGAGATTTTTCTGTAATCTTTTTGCCTCATGAAAGGCCTCCATGCCTGCCTGCTTTATTCATGGTCAGTTGTTTTCTTCCTAGCCTGTCCTGTAGTCCAAAAATGATGCTTCTGCTCCTTCTGATAGCCTGGTTCTGTATTTTCTTCTGTAAAAGCTGTTACAAAATTTAGTTTGTGTTTTAATGGATGAAGAATTTTATTTGCCTCAGTTCCTGTACTGCTATGAAGAGTTGGTGAAAAGTGTCTTTCTGGTCACATACCCTTCAATATTCACAGAGTTCAGCCAGAGCTCATCATTGGGGTTGAACAGCTTCTGTGGCCTGTGCAGATGAGTGAAGGCCAGGACGATGTGTCACAGCATTTCATAACAAGGCTTACTAGTTAGACAAGTCTCAGATTGGTTCTGAGTAACAGTATTTACTATAAGCTGTTCAGAGTGGATGCCTCTTGTACTTCACATTTTTCATCCGGTAAATACGCAAATAATCACTACTGTGTTCTACAGAACAATGTAGCTGTTCTACAGGGCAATGTAGCTGAATCATTGATTTATTTTCTCCCTCCCATGAGGCTGATCTTACCCTTCATCTTTCTAGGGTGAAAAGGCACAAACAATTGGCCAGATTGAATTCTGCTTCACCAAAGAACTGCAACTGGTAAACTGCACAGTGTCAGAGGATGAATCCAACCCAATGCAGGCTCACTTGAAGCTTGGAACTTCAGAGTTGTCGGTCTGCCATGATGATCTCCCAACCTATTACCCTTCAGAGGTCCAAGATCACAAATGAAGCCATAAGAGTTTGAAAAACTGTTCAAACAGCAACAAAACCCAAATTCATGTAATATTACAAGCCCCTGTCCATATCATGGGCCTACAGTGAAGATTTCTGCTGGAAAACACAGTTCTTTTGCTATTAAAGGAGAGTGGTCCACATGATGGGATCAGCATTTGATCTACAGCTTGGTCTGGATTTTTTGGCTTGGTTATGGTTTGAATCAATGTTCAGAAGTGAATGGTGACTTCTCAGTGTGACATGCAGCTAAGTCTGCCACTTCAGCTGCTTTTTGGTTTTTACCAGTGAGTCAGGGAAATTAAATAATTCTTTGTATTGAAAGGCTGATCATCTCTCTAAGATGAAGTGACAAGTTCTTGAGAGGGAAATACTGTAAACAGAAGGAGCTCTTGAGACCTGTCTGGAGGTTCATTCCCAGATGCAATAGCCACTGCCTTGTATAATTGCTCTCCAGAAGTGCAGAACGGAGATCATGTCCTCTGAGGTGTTGAACCTTTTCTCACTCAGGGATCACAATGGACCAAACACAACTTTTGCATAACTTCTTAGTGACGTAGTAACATTCTCCAAGTTTGGGTTCTTATACCTAGAACATCTCAGGGAGACTGTATTTGTAGCCTTACCTGTTTGATTATTTTTGTGGCAGTAGCTCCATACAGTCTTGAGGAGCAATCAATGCTAGAACTTAACACGTTAGTATAGAAGAGTGTTAGGCTCTAGAAATAGGTCATTACTAATTTTTTGTTGTGTTTGAACATTCAGCATTACTACTTGTGAGTGTCTGCACTTTTATATAAAAACAAGATTGTCATGTAATCACTGTGTTCCAAGAAACAGCTTTTTATAGATGAACCAATAAATACTGCAGGATTTTCGGTAAAAAGTTTGCAATAGTGATGTTTGCAATAGTGCATCTCTACCCCATAGTGATGAGTAACATGCCACGAAGGTGGATGCTTCCAGAGGGAACCAACTTTTGATGACATCTTCCCCACAGTGCTGTGTTGATTTAGGTGTCTCAAACTGTGTTTCAAAGAAAGTCAATTATGGCTCAAGGAACCATCTGTTTGTTAGAATAATGTTACTGTGAAAACATGAAATGCAGTATTAGAAACAAATTTGTTATTTTGAGTTAGAAACCATTTACTCTCAATTTTGACTGTCCCTATTTCTCTACCACCTTTCCTTTAATGCTCTATTACCTTTGTATTCCAGAATGTGTGTTTTTTAAGCCTTCCTTGAAACTCAGATATTTATTTATTTTAACAGCCAAGGAATTATTATGGTCTGACAAACGAGTGATTGTTGGGTTTGCCTGTTTTTCTGCAGGTGCTTTAATTCCTCAGTCCTGTTTCTCAGTCAGAGGTAAAGCTGACTCTTGCCAAAAGGAGTCAGCAGATACACACATGAGTTGCAAATGACCAAACTCTGCAGCAGAGTAGATAGTATGGTTTCCTTGCATTTTTCAGCCTCATTTTCAAATGCAAGAAATGCAAAGGACCTGATAAGTCTTAAAAATCTTTGAGGAAAGAATAACATAATCCAAAATGAGTGAGGCAGGCAAACATGCTGAGTAAAAATTTGCATGAGTAAAAATTGATTGAGAAAAAGCTTGGTTAAAACAACCTCATATACTCTTAAGTCCCATTTAAAGGGACATACCTGAAGTACTGTGTTTGCCTTAAAAAACCCATACCCATGTACTTTTTATTACAGATTAAATATTTAGATTCTCTATGGTGAACTTTCCAGTAGTAGCAATAGAACACTATGACAGATGTTGCTTGGGTTTTGGCAAACCCACCTGCCCAACTTCTGGGAAGAGTACAAATGTCTTCTAAAAGCTACCTACTGATTTTTATATAGAGATGTCCCATGACATTATGAAGTTTGAAGTGATATATTTAAGGGATGCTTTAAGGTCTGTATCTGGGCAGCCAGGAGAGCAGATGAATGAATGCTATCACCACTTCAGACCAAGGATCATGTCCAGCCCTTTGTGTTCTCTCTAGCAATGGCTCACAGCCAGTTGTGAGCCTTCTCAGTTGCTTTCTGTCAGAATGTATATAATTCCAAGAGCTGGATTAAGGCAGTTTAACTAAAAGAAGTAAACAAAGGTATATTGGGAGCCATAAAATCCAGTTCTGAAGAGCATCGCTCACTTCCTTGTGCAATATAAATTCTGTCAGCCTTGAAAATTCAGCACAGCCTGGGGATGATGGGTCCTATATTCTTTTCTGCATCATTGAATAAATTAACTAAATTTCAGCAGAGATGTTTTGTGTGCAGTCTCGGTGGTTTAAAACACCACTCAACTCCACAAAGGGACTCAGCTTGTTTATACCCTTAGTTCGTGCTATTCATGCAGAATGGTTAAGCATCCCTTGACATGTAGGTTACAGCGTGGGTGTGTGTCCCTTTTCCAAGGACAGCCCTTCTTCCTGGAGTATGGGCAGGTTCTTTTCTCTCTTGTTTTTTCTCTCTCTTCATAGCCTGCGCTGAGCCTTTCTCAGCTGCACGGGAGCCCAGCTTGAGCCAAGTTTGTGGTGGGGTGGAACAGGAGATTGGGAAATGCAGCTTCTGCTCAGTTTCATGAGGTGCAGATAATTTTGTGCTTAAGGGCACATCTGTCCCTCCCTACCAGCAGACAGCTGATCTGCTACTGCCAACCTCAACAGGAGATGGGAGAAACAGAGGGAACCTGTCCCCATTACTCTTAGCGGGGGCAGTAGCTGGTTGCAGTTGCCCAAGGGATGGGCAAAACTACCTCTGCAGGCTGGAATGGAGGTGGCACAGGCCTCTGGCTGTGTCCCTGCTCTGCACTTTTCAGTGGCTGGAGAGTGCTAGGGTGTGCTACTGTCCTAGCTGCTGCTGCCTGGAAGGAGAAGAATGGGGTCAGGACTGCAGTGGCCACGCAGCATGTCAATAGTCTGCAAATACATTGCACCAAGGGGGACAGGCTAGGTATGTACAGCTGCAAAGCTGCAGGTTGGGAAGGGGGATTTTGACCACAGTGGGTTCTTGAATATGCTCACCTCAGTTCTGGTGTGGTTCTGCTTCAGTCTGCTGTGCTCTGGATCTGGCACTGACCACTGTTAAGCCAAGGTCACAGAAGGTTAATGGTGATGCTAACTGTTATTGATGCCTGATGATGCAAAGAGAAATTGTCAGGACTTTGCAAGTTGCTTTCCCAGGAATGGAGCAATCAATGATGAGAAATGTTGTACTTATTGTAAATCCAGACTCATGCTGATATGGCAGCTTCCTTCACAAGGGTCACTCTATGTCTCCTTTTCCTGTAAATATTCCCTGTTCCATGAAATTGCCATAGATCACCCAGAGTTGGTACAAATAATTAATTTTAGAAAGGATTTAAATTTCTCATGCTTTGAAGAATAAGAGGCTTTGTATACAGGCTAAGTGAGACCTGATGTGGGAGATAGGCAGATTTTTTGTGCTTGTGCTGTGATTTTCATTATTCCTTACCTCAAAGTACACTGGAACATCACAGACTGGACGAGGATTAAATAGACCTCAGGGGCAGCCAAACCCAAGCATGCCCACATATTGGTGGTGTAAATCAATACATCAGTTCATTCAGCATGAAAATCAGAGTGCTGGCATTTGTTTGCAATACTCACTTCAAAGGACTGATGTTTCAGTAATCCTTTATAAAACAAAAGAAGTAAAAATGACCATATTTGACAAGAATTTTAAGGTGTTATAAAATTCTTAAGCAAGCTGGAGAATACCATAGTGTTCTTTTGCAAGAATTACTTTTCTGAGTACAGCTCATTTACCAGAAAAGAGGCTATTTGCTTAGGTTTTTTTCTATAACTCACACAATTGTTCATGTTGGAGACCTGTGCTCTGCATGCAAATTAGGAGAGATGAGCCAAAACAAAATTAGCAAGAATTAAAAGCACAGCAGTTACCTTGTAGCAATTACAATCTGTATAAACAAGCACGATGCATCCCAGCAGGTACCTGCCTTTACATCATTTACTTCTTGTAAGCTTAGTATTGAATAGAACTTGCTGCTGTCAGCCTTGGAGGGACTTCTCTCTATCCAGAGTGCTCAGCTGAGGATGGAGAAGCTGTGTGTACTTCCAGCAGAGGTTGGAAGAGCTGTCATGTCACCTGACTGCTGTGATTTTAGCCCATCAGCCTTCCACAGATCCATGTCCCTTACCAAGATTTCACGGGTTGGGTTACGAAGGCTGCACGTACCCAGATGACTTGTGCTAACAATTCCCAGTGCCAGCTGTTGTGGGCTTGTGTTCCAAAGCACGTTGTGAAGAGACTGCCCCTCCTCATAAACCCTAATTTGCAGATATTTGCTAAATGCCTGAGGTATGCATTTGTCAAGGATTTATTAGCTAGGAGGCTGGATGACTGATGTGTGAAGTGGGAACCACTTCATTGTCTCCCAGACTCTCAGATGTTTGAGGCTTAGAAGTCTCATATCCTACTGAGGCAGTTGTTTTATACATAACAGCTGGCCCTGACTTATTTTTTATCCTTCAGCCCCTGGATACCTTCAGAGATTTCAGTCTCACAGTTTCTGTGGGATTTAGTGAGCAGCTTGTCATTTCTGAAGCCTGCTGCAGGATAATCACTGTAATAAAATAGCTCTGGGACACAAACTACCCTCTCATTTCTAATGCCTGGTGTTGATTTCTCTTTGATTCCCTCCATTATCCTCAGTGACCTGGGAGATGAATGGACCATGCTTTTGATCTCACAGAGTAACTGAAGCACAGATATTGTAGGAGAGAAAAATTTCTTAAGTCTCACAGACAAAATATTCTCAAACACCTATTTTCTCTCCCCATTTTTTCTCCCTCTATGACTTTGAAGGATTCTGACTGCAAGGAGCCCTGCAGGTCTGAAATAAGGTAGGTGTATTGATGGAAAGCTTTTAGTCCTTTACTTGTTATGTGTTTGGCACCTGGATTTTGGCCAGCCTGGCTGATGAGCAGACTTGCTGTCACACAGCTGACCAAGAACAGTATCTCAAAAACAGAATTTAAGAAGGTGGGGGAAACGGACATTTATTAAATCAGTTAACAGTCTGGGGCCTCCACGATTATTTAAACAGAAATATGGCATGACTAGCCTGGTCTGTCTGGGCAGATGGGAGAACAGGGAAATCGGCGTACATTTTCTTACTTGGTTCTGCCACTATCTGCCCTGTTTGTGAAATTCAGCTTGAAATCTGATGACAGTTCTAAGTCTCACAAATTAAGTAAGACTTCCATGTACTTGCTGTCTGCAGAGGACCATTTCATCCTCCCCAGCTCTGGATAAGTAATTGAAGCCTAAATGCTTGAAAATGTAATGGCTTTTGGAGGTAATAGAACATGCGGTCCCTACAGTGGTCAAAACCTTGGTTTAAGCAGCTGAGCTCCTTTTGCTTACGTGGTGTGAAATAAGCAGCACTGCAGAGAGATGCCTCATGCAATAGTTGGGCTGAGTATTAAATCAAGCTTCTTCCCAGGGTGGCAAGGAGGAACATCCTGCTGCTCTGGTGCAGCCCTTCCTAAGCCTTTTGAGATAGAAGAGGTATGGCATTCCTGGCAGGAATCCAGACAGCACTGGTTAGTGTGAATAAGCACTGCTGAGTCATGTGGCACAGTCACACTCTTCCAGTCACCCCAAAGAGGTTCCTGCTGCTACAAAAGGCCTCTGGAGAAATTGCTGAAGCAGGTTTTGTAGCAGAGATGAGAACCAAGGGCCTCTCCCCACTTCAGGCAATCTAGCCAGCTTTCTTCACAGCTTCACAAGGAGAGACTTGGAGGAGGCCTTTGCAGAAAAAAGCCCTCAGTCTGGTGCTTTGGATGCTCAGAGGGGAGAAATAAGTCCTTGTCCCTGTTTGGGGGAGAGGGCAAGGGGAGAGGGCAAGGGACCTCCTCTCCTGTGGCTGGGACCACTGCTTCACTTGCTGACTCCTGCAAACAGCTCCAGCACTTTCAGCTGCATGTTAAACACAATGGGTGTTGTCTTTTGCAATGACTTAAGTTGGGATAAGTGACATGGACTCTTAGGAAGCTGCCCCGAAAGCTGATAGGTGAAGGAATAACCTTCCTACCTGGTGAGGAAGGAGTCCATTGGGTGCTGAAACTCCTCCTCCTCACTCAGATGGATGAGCCTCAGCAATACATATCCAAGTGTCTGGGGGATGTCAGAATGAAATGGTGAAAGGGAGGACCTTGCAGAACGAGGTGCCAGGTGAAGCAGAGTTTCATAAAATTTTATGCTTTTCATGTCTAAATTTCCTGAAATTTCACAAGAAGCAC